CTAACAGATAATTTGGTAAATTCTCATTGGTTATGTCTGGTCTTGTGAAAGTTTTTCTTTAGACCTGCCAACCAATTTTTGACCCTTAGTGCAGCTCTTACCCTCCTTCCACTTCCCTCCTCCTACATTTTATTTTGCACAGTTGCTTCCTTTTTCATATAGGAGCATAGGAACTGACCCGAAATGCTTTTTTCCTCCCTAATAACCTTATACAAATATCTTACTCAATGTAGTTGTTTTCCCTACATTTGAATTGTTGTGCTAGTTAAGAAAATACACATATATTTAAAATTTTATAGCAGCACAGATGGCTTTATCTAGGTTTATATGCATAGATGGTTATAGCTATATATTAGCTGATGTCTCCTGGTTATACAATTTTATTTACCTCCTACAGTCACTAGTTTCCTTTTGAGACATTAATTTTTCTCATGCATTGCTATTCACAATAATCTGTTTTAAAATCAACTTTTCCATATACCTGATTTTCTTCCTTATGTGGTGTCATGCCTGTCTTTCCATTTTTTTTTTTTTTTTTGCAAATTTGTAATTACTTTGTAGTTTTATACACAGCCTTGACTGTTTTAAGAATTTACATAAGAAGAATATTGGGAAATGGTTAATTCTATAATTCATGGGGTGAATCTTCCTTCATCTCCTGAATCTTCATATTTCCTCCACTTCATTGACTTGTGCCACAATAACTTTGGTTCCTGTTAGCTTCTATTTTCTCCTTCAGTTAATTATAAGGAGCAGTGGGTGGTGGAGGGCTGGGTAAACACACACCAAGGTAGCTACACTCTGCATTCACCACTAGCCCAGCTAGCACAGCAATGACAAGGATGACAGTGAGAACTATGTAAATTATGCTAATGCAGAAAACAAAAAGTCAGGGAAAGAAGGCAGATTCATGGTCAGTGGAAGTCTTTGTATACCAAAGAAAAGGGAAAGCAAGTAATTAGGAGAATAAAAATAATAAATGCAGGAAGTCATAAGGATTTACATCTTTCATTGAGTGACTCTTTCGGCAAAATTTATTTTAAAATAAAATCTCCTAAATGTTTGTGTTGCACTTACATTATGCAAAGTCATGGCTATGAGTAATATGATTTTCAAATTTGATCTATTATATACTATTTCTAGAAACTTTTGATAAATTTACATATTCATCCCATTTCACATAGGAAGTATAAACCCCAATTATTGACTACTTCATCATTTACCTAATCAATTCTTTCCCTTGGATTTTAACATGGGAATCACAATGTCCAAGCATCCTGACTTTGCCTTTCTCACAAATGCAGCTGAAATGAAACATTAAATATCCAGTTTAAATCAGAGGTGCACTGGAAGACAGGAAGGGCTGGCACAGCAAGACCAGGAAAGTAGGGAATCCCTGAAAAATGTAAGTTAGAATGAAAATACAGACAATAAAAGTAGCAGAAGAACTGATGCAGTCTCAGTCACTGACTTTGGTGTTTACCCTTGGGCCATTCTCCAGTCCCTCCATAGCCACCTGCAAGTGGCTGTTTTACTCCATAAATAGTCACCTGACACAAGTCCCTGCAGCCCACTCTGTACCGTTACAATGAATGGAGGCAGGGTTTCCAAGTCAGAACTTCCATTTAATGTCTGCTGATTATATTATTTGGGATGATATTATTATTTAACTTTATTACATCAATTGAGAAATATAGAATGAGATATTAGTGTTTAAAAGCAGAAAACTAACCTTTAACAAAGTAGAACTCTGTAATAGTCACTTCCAAGTTACCAGCAGAAACAAAAAAGAGTGAAAACAAAAAAACAACAAACTGATAAAACCAGCAAATGTGAGAAAAGGAAAAAGAGGAAAAACAATATATGTTTTTTAAAAAGAACAATTAAGCAAAATGGCATCTCCCCCAGATCTGCACCACTCCCATTGCTTTATCCATCTACACATCCCTCTGCATAAATGGGGATGCAGTTCTCAAGATACCTCAGGATGCAGCAGCCAAAAGTCGAGCCACTTGAGTCCCAGAATCCAATTAGTTCTTAGGTTAGTGCTTATTCGAGTAAGAACAGAAGGCTGAATTTGGGCTATGAAAATTAAATTTACTATGCACCATAATGGGCAGCTGTAATTAGAACATCACCGAACACAGACTCCTAAGTCTTACTGGCCTTCTTTCCTCCCTGTGGCACCTGAGGGTGACTTGCCACCTCCTTTTCTGTCTTTCCTTCCTTGTAATGCTCCTCAGGCCAATTGCCTTCACTTTGATATCAGCTATGTTCATTACACAGGAAATGACTCTTTTACCATCCTCTCCCTTCACTTTGGGGATGCAGAGCAAAATTGCACCAAGCTTTCTGCATCATCAAGTTTTACCCATTTAGTCTACCAAGACAGAGCAGGTGAGTGGAAGTTAATCTTGAATAGCATGAATCTGTGAAGGTATAGTACATCGCATAGAGACATTTATTATGTGTGCATCTTACTAGCAATGCAGTATTGGAATTTAGCAGAGATGATTATGGAAACAAATTGACCAGACTGGGTTCCTCACAGCACTCTAAGCAGTCTTTGGCTTTGAACCTATACTCTTTAACACAGGGTAAAGGGGAGGAATAGGGTTCCCTCTTCCCAAATAATAATAGTTCCTTTCCTGCCAGTTTTATCAGTGAGAAAAACAGACAAGCACTGTGGATACATTAACCATGAGATTTGTACTTACTCCAAAGTGGCCAGAATCCATGGGAGAAGCAATAGGTAGGCGTGGTCAAACATAAAGTGCACAGACATGCAAGCTCAAGTTGACCCTTTAACAATTCACATTCTTTTCCTCTGTCCCGATTCCTAGTCTGTATTGTGAAACCAAATTTCTCCTTAGATCCTCTTGCAAATGCAAACTGAGTAGACAAGTAGGTTAACCAAGTCTTGTACTTTCTTTGAGTTACTGATGCTTCATTTGCATGCATTTGTTTTCCCATTATAATACACATAATATAGAGTTCCTGTTGTTTACAGCATGCTGAACAGTGTTATTGAGGTATAACTGACATACACTATACATATTTAAAGTGTACAGTTTGGTAAGTTTTGACATAAATATCCACCCATTAAACCATCACCTAAATCATAATTATGAATATGCCCATCACACCAAAAAGCTTCCTTGTCGCCCGTGTCATATATCCTTCTCTCCCACACCCCTCCTCTGTGCTTTCTATTACAATAGATCACTTTGCATTTTATAGACTTTAATACAAATACAATCATGTAGTCTGTACTCTTTGTCTGGCTTTTCTCTCTCAACCTGATTATTTTGAGACTCATCTATATTGGTGCATGTATCAGTAGTTCTTTCCTTTTCGTTGCTGAGTAGTATCCCACTGAACAAATTTACCACAGTTTGTTTTTCTCCATTCACTTACTGCTGGACATTTATATTGTTTCCAGATTTTGTCTATTGCAAATAAAGCTGTTTTGAACATTTGTGCACAAGTCTTTGTGTTGGGGACTGACATTATACTTTCCTGGTTTAAGAATTAAATTTGGTGAGTAATGTACCTGCTCTGCCCAGAGCATTTGAGAGTAATGTGTTCCAGACAGGGTCCTTGTGACAAACAAGGTTGCTGCCTAGAGGCATAACAAAGGACCTGAGTTTATGCAAATAGGCAAGAGCTGCCCAGTCCCACATTAATAGGGGCCTGGAGGCCACACGCTAAGCACATTGTTCCTATTATTGTTGCTTGGCCCTGTAAGATGGCTGGATAGTCAATGATGGGTAAGATTCCTCAAGGAGGAACAACCTAAGACAGGCACAGCTGCCGGGGGCCAGCCAGGAGGAACTAGGGACAGAAAGTGCCCCCGTGGCTGCCTTGCTTAACCTTTGCTTATTTCAGCCTGTGATCTATGCCTGGTGCCTCAGGAAACTGCCTGGAAACCTTGAGTCAGGGGACATCTGTGCCCTTAGGCTACGTGTTCCAGAATGTATGGCCATTGCTGCAATGCCTGGGTGGTCACGTACAGGGAAGTAACTTCAATTTTTTAGGGTATAAAAATAAAATGACTGGTGTGTTCTGCACTGCAGTCTTGTACCGTCTTTGTGTGTGTCTGTGTCTTTCTTTTTGTGTCTCTTTGTTCTGTATTCATCCCCCATCTTGCAAACGGGCCATGGCATCTTTGTATATGAATGTGATTTTATTTCCCTTGAATAAATACTTAGGAATTGAAAGACTAGGTCATATGGTAGGTATATATTTAACTTCAAGAAATTATTTGTTTTCCAAAAATGTTATATCATTTTACATTCCTAGCAGCAATATATGAGGCTTTCAGTTCATCTATATCCTTGTTAACAGTAGGCATAGTAGGTCTTTTAATTTTTAATCATGTAATGGTATCAAGTATGGTTTTTATTTTTATTTCCAAAATCGTTAATGACATTGAGCATCTTTGTGTGTGCATTTTGCCATCTAATATATCTTTTTTTAGTGAAGTGTATAATAAAATCTTTTGTCCATGGTTTATCAGGTTGTTTTATTTTTATTGAGTTATAGTAACAGTCTATATATTCTAGGTACAAGTGTTTGTCATATATGTATATATTTTTCTCCTAATTTTATCATTTTTTGTGTATCATGTGTTTTGAAGAGCAAAAGTTTTAAATTTTGAAGAAGTCCAATACACTAATTCCTTATTTGATAGTTCGTAATTTTGTAACATAAATGAGAAATATTTTGCTAAGTCCAAGTTACTAAAGTTTTTTCCTATGTTTTCTTTCAGAAACTTTGTGGTTTTAACTTTACATTTAGGTCATGGATTTTTGTTAAGTTAATTTTTGTAGATAGGCTAAGGAAAGGGTAAAGGTTCTATTTTTCTTTTTTTTTTCTTTTTCTTCCTTCCTTCTTCCCTCAGTCTGTCTGTCTCTGTCTCTGTCTCTGTCTCTCTCTCTCTTTCTCTTTCTTTGTAAATGACAGCCAATTGTTCCTGTGCTGTAAGTTGGAAAGAGTACCTTTTTTTCCAATAACCGCCTTGGCATCCTGGTCAACAATGAGCTGGTGACATGTGCAGACTGTTGGCATTGCTGGTGTTGTTGCAGCTCCCCATGCTGTCACTGGCTCCTTTGTCTGTGATCACTAACAAAACATAAATAATTTTTTACTCTTTTCTCTTCCTTTTTTTCTCTCCATCTTTCTGTCATATTTAGCAAACTGTCACTTAATATTATGCAAAATAAGGACATTTTGTATGAAAAGAGTCACCAAATATCTCATTCAAAATATGTTCCTGAAAGCTATTTCAGAGGTATACTAAAGACATACATCAAACTGTATCCTAGAAAGTGGTAGAAAATAATGAACCAGGTTGAGGAGGAAAACCAATTAAACCTAAAGTGGAATTAAATCTTTTTGTTCTTTTTTATCTATACATGATATCTGATATGTTTCTGTGTGTGTTCATACATTGAAATTTGCAAAAGTTAAATATGGATAAAGTAAGCTTACTATCAGTGAGTACAAATAATTATTCAAAAAATGTACATTGCAGAAAAAATATTAATAATGTACAGAAATGAAATTTGAGGTATTACAAGAAAACATAGGAGACAGTAGTAATGCATCAGTTTCTAAGGAAATATTGATTAATTCCTAATAGCATTTATAGAAAATGTTTCAAAAATATAAGTGTAATCACCAGGGAATAGTAAAAGTATGCTTAACTTCCTAAACTTTAGACAGCAAGAAAGCCCTCTCTCAGTCCACTAAGAGACTGAAAAGCAAGAAATAAAGGAAAGGGCAAGAAAATACTAAACAAATACCAAATATATGATCAAATAGATCAGTTTCCAAAACAAATATGAATGACTTGAATTCAATTATTAAAAAAGAGTGTTTTTTTATGCCAGGCATGGTGGCTCATGCCTATAATCCCAGCACTTTGGGAGGCTGATTTGGGAGGATTTCTTGAGGCCAAGAGTTCAAAACTAGCCCAGGCAACATCATAGCAAGACCTAATTTCTACAAAAAATAAATACAAACTAGTCAAGTGTGGTGGCACACCCCTGTAGTCCCAGCTCTTCAGGAGGCTGAGGCAGAAGGATCACTTGAGTCCAGCAGTCCAGTGAGCTGTTATTGTACCACTGCACTACAGCCTGGGCAACAGAGAAAGACATCATCACTAAAAAAAGAAGAGAGATTTTACATTATACATATTATATATATATTATATAATTATTGCTAGATGCATAGATTATTATATATAATATATTATTATTGCATCAAATAATCAAGTTATCAAATAATCAAATCAAATTAATTAAATGATCCAGAAAGTTTAGAATGAACAGAAGGATATTTCAGGCAAATAAAAGAAAAGCAGAGATCACAATTAAAAAAAATGGAAATATATGCTAATCACTAAAAAAATATACACTAAGACATTTTATGTACCTGAAAATATAACATAAAACCATATAATATAAAGAGTTAGAAACAAAAATAAATTGAGAAATCCACCATCTTAAGAAGAGATTTAAAAATACTACTCATATTTTTACAGATCAAATAGATAACAAATAAACAGAGATGAGAATGATATAAATAAATAAAATGCATATTTATGAATTTATTTTAAAGATATAATTTACTACAGTATATAAAATTATAAAAATAGTTAAAATTATATATGCAATTTTTATGTAAAACCCTATTGATGTCCATATTTCTACTCCTTAGCATCTCTTGTCCTTGTGAGTTTTTTCCCACCCTCCCTCATTCCCCTGAACTCCTTTGGTCCTAAATTTGTCTTCCTTATTCATCTTACTGAATTATTTTCTTCCAACAATTTTTTTTTTATTTTTAAATTTTGTTTAGCAGTTCCTTAAAATTCTTTTCTAAGTGTTTTTCAGGATTATCAAATGTTGCCTAATTCAGTATAGTGTAAAATACATATCACTTTAGGGACATGAGGAGTAAAATCCTGAAATTGGTTAGTGAGGGGACTTCTGGATAGGAATTTGTTTCTCGTGATCAGAATCTCATTGCATAGCTTACTGCCTATTTATGGATTACTGCCTATTCTCACTGCTGCATACTACTGGCTCGGATCACTGACCAGTGTGATTGAGCACACATTCACACACTTTCCTGGAGGTGAAATAGCAGCCAGAATAGCAGAGTTTTTCTCCCTCATTATCCTTCCCGAAATATGCAAACCCCAGGCCTAACTGCCCAGTAAAGACATTTAGTAATGTTAACTAAGACACAGTTTGGATGTTTGACCCCTCCAAATCTCATGTTAAAATTTGATCTCTAATGTTGGAGGTGGGGCCTTAATGGGAGGTGTTTTGGTCACAGGGCAGAACCCTCATGAAAGGCTTGGTGCTTTCCTTGAGGTCAAGAGAAAGTTCTCCCTCTCTTCGTTCCCTTGAGAACTGATTGTTAAAAAGAGCCTGACACCACCCCTGGCCCCTCATGCTCTTGCTTCCTTTCTCCCCATGCAGTGGCTGTCCCCTCTGCCTTCCATCATGAGTGCAAGCTTCCCGGGCCCTCACCGGAAGCAGATGCTGGTGTGGTGCCACGTGTCTTGTACAGCCTGCAGAACTGGGAACCAACTAAACCTCTTTTCCTTATAAACCATCCAGTGTGCGATATTCCTTTATAGAAACACAAAATGGACTAAGAAACAGAGGAAAAGAGATTCTAAAATAACAATCTGACAGTTTGTCTTATTGACCCACAGGGTCTGAAGTACTTCTTTTCCTAGACTCACAACTATTCTGCCTCCTGCCTCTGTATTCCAGGCTCCATCAAGAGTGGTACTAGCTGGATCTGAATGACTGATTGAGCCTATATGGAATGCCAAGGAGATGAAACAAAATTCTGGGGCATAAGGTGGTTAAAAGAATGACAGGGCTGGAGGAATGTTGGGCAAATGAGAAAGATGTCCAAAAGGAAGGGTTCTCTCTACCAGTAGTGAGGCTAGCCAGAGGCAAGGCCCCCCCAAACATGATCAAAACACCCTTGGAAGACGGCTGAGACAAGTTGAAAAGAGTGGACAAGTGGCCCATGAATACCCACCTGCCTGTGGGAAGATTAGAACTCAAAGTAAAGAACAGTTTATTTCCTTACTTTGTACCCTGGGTTTCTTCTTGACTATAACAGTAAGGTTCTTATGGACTACTCTAGCCTTCTTTCTTCTAGAGTATAGACACATAACTTAGACAAACAAACCCTATACTCATATAACATCATATATCATGTCCGAACCATTCAACTGTACTTTATTCATGTTGTGGCTCTGAAAGCACATCCATGAACTGGAGTCTTGCTATGTCTGTTTTCATTCATTCAGGTGATTATCAGAATGGGGAGGGCCTGCATTAAACTTTAGTCCTATCAATCACTAGATTGGATAGCCTTAGGTAAGTTTAGTCTCTCTTTTCTTGTTTTAATTTTCCCATCAATAGAATGAAGATATTAATATAAGTCTTAGCATCTGCTAGAGTTCACGTCTTGCATCAAATCTACCCAAGACTCACATTAAGTTTATTCCATTCTGTAACTTAGATCTTCAAGGTGGTGACCATTCATAATTTTTAAAGAAAATATTTACAAGATATGAATTAGAAGGACCAGCTACATTCTTTCCTGCTGTAGTTACTTTCAAGGCTACAAGTCATAGTCATCATTTCTTTTACCACCCATTGTAGATTCTTTACCTTGGCCAACACCTCTTCTAGTCTAGGTTGCTTGCCTTTTGGGTAACCTAGGTCTTCATGCTTGAGGGGTATAACTTCCTTACTTCATGCTTCTGTCAGATTGCTATAATGCCTTCCCTGAGCATCACCAGACATGGAAGAAATAAGTGGTCCCTAGGTGAACTCTGTGAATTCCAAAAACACTATGCATTATCCCAATTATGTAGCAATGAATCATGTCAAACAGGGTCCATAATCCTTGCTGGTATAATGAATTCCTTCTTTGTTTGCTGGTCTATTGGTATGCTCATCTAAAATGACCAAGCTGAAGTCACAGCTTTAGGTTTAATGGAACTTATGTGCTATGGTCCGATAGAAGTAACTGCATTTCCTCAGAAACCAGGACCTTGAGTCCAGAGAACCTTAAAGTAGCAGGGACAGGAAGCACAAAGTCCCCCAGTGGGTCACTGGAATGATGGTGAGGTGGGCTACTCCTGGTTACATACCTTGTTTCCTGGATTTTTTTTTTTTTTTGTATTGGGAATTCTGAATCATATAATGGTTGTCAGTTCAAAAATATACTGCATCTTGAAGAGCAATGCCCCTGACCCCCTGAGGGTGTTATTCCTATGTTGTGGCTTTGGTTTGCCTTTAAGAGGCCCTTCTAACATTATATAAGGTTGTCAGCTTATAATGTGTGTGTTAGGACCAGTGACATGTGCCCTGTGGCACACCTGCTTCATCCAAGGTGGTGTTATGTGAGATTTCATGGCAATAAATCAGAAATTCTGAGCCTTCAGATAGTAATGATGGCCAAAGGGCTTTGGAAAAGGATAGAAGAAAACATACCAAAATATGTATCAATCTCAGTAAACCCAAATCACTGTCCCTTCCAGGCTGAAAGAAGTCTGATTTACTCAACTTGCCATCCCCAAGTGGCTATTTGGTGTCATGAGGTATAGTGCCACATTGAGAGTTCACTATCAGTCTTTTCTACTGATATGTTGACATTCAGCACTGGTAGTGACCATGCCAGCCTTATCAAGAGGGAGCACGTGCATAACCTTTATCCCCTGCACCTTGGCTACTCCATTTAAATGCTGATTTTTCAGGCACTGTGCTGACGTGAATAAGGCCTTTTGCTAAATGAGCGATCATCATATTCTTCTACGGGTTTAGTGCCTCCTTTGCAGTGTGTGTAAATATTGATACAAGATATAAAGATCTGCACATTTTGTTCCTATTCCAATAAATCTTTCCACCTATTTTAAATCGCTCAATCTTGCACTTTCCAAGTGATTAATCAATTTACCAAACCATTTTTTTATGCCTGGAAGTCTACATATGTCTTTACTTCAGACCACTTCCCCTCCACACCCGCCTGATGGCCAGGCTTACCATCAGGGCCACAGTGAGTGGGGCTGTAATGTAGATAAGTATATCTCTGCATTTTACCAACATCACAACCTGAACCCGTCACATTCAACAGCTGGTCATGGGGAACTCTGCACAAAGCCATAGTTATGAACTGTGGGACTGACATCATTGCAATAGAAAAAGGTGATGTGAAGAGGAAATCTGGGCTATCTCTAAGTTTCTTATTCCTTCTGGCCTTCTTTGGCCTGGTGTTGAATGTATCATTTCCATCTCATGAATTACCCTTCAATTTTATTACTTGGTGATTCTGACAAAATACAAATGATGATGGGCATCTCCTTCATATAGTCCCTTGATGTTCCAAAGTCAAATGTTAAGCTTCTATGTTAATGTCAAATGTTAGGCCCCAGTAGCATGCTAGGAGCTATTTTTCAAATAATGAGTAGTTTTCTGTTGCAGATGGCATGTTCTTGCTCCAAAACTGTAGGGTGGCTACTCTGTGACTCTTCTCTTAGGGCTTGCAGAAACCATATATGGCATCCTCATCTATCACAGGAACATCCAGCATCATGGGGTCTGCCCTAACAGATGGCCCAAACAGCAGTGGTGCTTGTAATGCAGGCTGAATCTGTCGAAGAGCCTCACTCAAAGCTGGAAGCTTCCATATTACTCAATAAGTGGGTTCACGTCATCTTCCATAATTCATCTCACTTTTGCAGGGACCAGGCTGGCAGGTTAATTGGGGTACATAATGGGTACTTACATTTTTACATTTTTGAGAGTGGCAATACTCCATGCTGTTCTACATGGGATGGTGTCTTGCTTCTGATTTATTATGTTGGTTCAGCAAGTTTAGGGGCTTCTACTTAGCCATTCTTCCCCTTCTGGCTCTTATTCCACAGGCCAAGGAACCAACATGAGGGTACTACGAGCTACCAAGTGTATCATTCCGATTACACACTCGGGGGCCAGGAATATGACATATTGGTCCCACTGTGAGACAAATTTGATCAAGACACTATTTATCACTGGCCTCTACATTCTTACTGCGAAGCCATGATGGTACTTTTTTTCCTGTATTAAAGTCAGCTCAGACCCTACA